CTGCATTGACGATAGTTTAGCCAGTTATTTCACTAGTAGTTCAAATATATTTAGCAGTCTTAGCAATCGCCAATTCTTTTAGAAAACTGTGTCTGACTGTATAAGAAAATCATGTTGCGTGACATGAACTAGACGAGCATGAAAGCAAAATAAATAGCAAAAGAGAATGCCGCATCTTCCCTTATAAATGAGAGTCCTTTTTAAAAATACTCCTGCCTTGATTCAATAAAAATATGTAGCTTGAATATTTCTTCACAAACTGCGTTAAGGATCGCAAATTCTTCGAACTTATCCGCAAAATACACAACTTGAGTTTACGCAAATTATGTACAATGCAATTTGAGCCTGGTCACAGGACTGTTGTTTTCGCGAAGGAGTTTATTATGATTCGTTTTGGCTCTCTCGAAAGGGATTATTCGCTCTCCAAAGGAGATATGACTCTTGAAAAGGGGTTAAGATCGCAACACGGCAAAGATGTTTAGCTACACAATTTACTCGGATCGCCACGACCAGCAAACAAACTTCGTACAATTTCTGCTAGCATGTACAAAAAAATCACCATAAGTTGTAAAAAGACCTCGAAAATTCTATGCAAACAACTTCTCCATCAATGCGTAGGCAGCTGTGCTTCATTCTTGAACCAAAATGTTTTAAACTCACAACTTGCGATAGGATGAGGAGGATACTCAACGAAGCAACTTGAATAGTAAATTTCTAAGCGGAACTCTTGTGCTAAAAAATACTGATTATTTAATTTGCTTTTATTGTGTCCAATACGCATTTTCTTAAAGTACGATTTGATACTGTGGTACGAAGCCCGAGTAAACGCTCTTAGAGCGTCTAGTTGTTATTATTATCTCGCAGAACATCCAAGAAGGGGAGCTTGTGCTTTTCTTCCCTATGCATGGTAAACTTAATGTTAGGGTGCTGGTTGTTGAGGTAATCATAGAAAGATAAAGCACCCTGTTCGGTATTAAACGAAAGAAGGGTATCATCAACGTATCTTAGGTAAACTCGATACCCAGGTTCTATTGCTCTAGCCAGTGTTTATCGTGGTGACGCATAAAAAGATAAGCTAATACTCTAATTTCAAGGTATATTACGAGAGAAAGACGGCTTTTGTGTTTCAGTTACTTAATGTTCATGAAATGGCCATAAATCGTAAATTCCTAGGAAAACAATTCGCCAGCACCGAAAAAATATTGAAGTATTTCAATATTTCTTATTGTTGAAATACTAAACCAAAAACAGCCAAACATGCATAAATAGGTGTCAAATGGCCTTTTTTTTTTCGGGGGTGCCTTTAACTTGAACTGAATAAATTATTTTGACGAACGATTTTGCTACAATCATTAATCACTCACCAAACCCAGCATGAGCAAAATCAGTGATTTAAGCTGTATCCCGTCCTATCTGGTTTGATGCAAACCCCAATAAAGTTTATATTCTCTGAAAGCTTAAGAATTGTAGATTACGAAGGTATACTTACTATAATTCAAAAAAGTTAAGGTTTTCTGAATATAGCGCGCTATTTCCCAAAGTACAGAAGTTCACTAATTAAGTTCGTTTCCGGTCGGATTTGAACGGGAGGACGCGATCAACATCGCTATGTCTTCTTGACACCTTTCCCTAAACAACAGTTTCAGAAAATTTTGATTACTTGTCTGGTTTGTTTTTGGCACACAGTTAAACTTTGAGTTTTGATGAAATATGCTTTCTCGCCTTTAGAATAGTCATAACTTTCGAAAGAAGCAAAAAATAAAAATTCCCCGACACAGTTTTTTTTTTTGCCTGTTGATCAGGCAACATTCTCTCCAAATTTCAGGGGAAAACGTTGAAAACTCGCTGGAAACGAACTCAAAATGTGCTCTTCACTCACTGAAATTTTCGTTTCGAGATACGAAGGAAAATATACTTTGAGGTGTTGTTCCAGTTTAATGAGGTAATTACACAAAACGTGTGACAATAATGACGCTTTGATCGACAAAGTGAGGGCTCATTTTTACTTTAACAACAGAGCTCGTATCAATTACTAAGGAGTCTCAAATGTTACCTCCGGCGGGAAATATCCTTTGCAAGATCTGAATTCCAATGCTAGTGCGCCCATATTAGTAAGAAAATCATTTTCGCTATTGTTTCTTCTTTCGATTTTTAAAACGCCTTAGCTTAGAGATGCTGTAGACAACGAAAGAACCCACCCGTAAACATCTTGAAGGAAACTCACGAGATACCGATTAAGTTGAAATCTTTATTACTGTTACCGCTTCGGACGGCGAAAGCGCCAAGGAAGTAATGCTTAGAAAATGACAAACGTCTTCCTCGTCTAGTGCAAGCAACTTCTTCTCGTGCTCGCAGCAGGAACCTTTGCCGCTAGCAGCTAATCTGAGACCTTTTCCCCCGACTTTTTCCTCTATGGCGCTTTCCTCGAACCCGAAGGGTATCCGGTCACCTCGCCACTAGGGAATTTCGCCACCAACGAGCTCGCCACCACGAGAGGCCTCCTCGCCGTCAAACACCAAGAGAAAATTAAACTAGAGTAAAGTAGTCGAGGTATATTAGGTGTTCGAGCGACTACAATGTCAATCGACTCGTAAGTTTGTTACCTAATGTCTGTTTGCAAATTTCGATGTCAACATGTTGTCGGTGTCGTGATACGAGATGTGCTCCGTTGTCTAGCGAGAAACCAAAGCCTTCTAGAATTCAACTACATGTATATTTCTTTGAGAACTTACTGTGCTGTTATTGCTCCGTTGCTTCGCTGTTGCGTTTGCATTTAAGCTCACGTAAGTGTTTCATGAAAGGCTTCGGCTAAAAGATCAAACAAGTTCAACCTTACACAAGCTGTGTGAGTCACAAAACTAAACAAAGTAGAACGAATTTCAGTTTAATGTTATTAGATCGTTAGTAAATTGGTGGCGAGGAGACTTCGCTTGGTGGCGAGTTCGTTGGTGGCGAGACTTCCTGATGGCGAGGTGACCGGTAACTCGAACTTGCAAATGGACACGAACTTTTGCGTTTCTTCGACGACATATGTAAGCTTAAATCAACAATCTACAAACGGAGAACACCCAGACCAGCTCGTCGACTATACCAAACACAAACGTTTGCATGGTAATCGTTCATACGCGGTAATTGCAAGTTTACATTTACTTCTCGTGACAACCTGTTGACAGCTATCAATAAGAGACAAATAATGCAAAGAAACGTTTTTCGTTTGCAGCTTTGCATAGAATCAATCTTTATTCATAGGACTTTTCTTTAAATGAAACATCATAATAAGATCTATCTGAAAAAGCGAAAAACAATTTCTTTGAAAAATGGTCAATTTTGGGGTATACTGATACTTAAATTACAAGCAGCAAAAATATGGAATAGCGAATTTCATGCCTTGTATTTTGCTTTCAAAAACCAAACCATTGTAATATAGAAAGTGATTATTTTTGGTCGCCAATTATATTAGTGATTTCTTATTGTTTTGTGTGAAAATGTGTAATTACTGAACACAGGAAGGATGAATAGGCTAACACCTCAAATTGATGTCTTTCTAACGTCAGAATCTGCAAATAAAACTTATTAAATACCTTGGTGGAAGATAGGTTGTTACTTTGAAACGGAACTTACTGTCAAGTGATGTCTTGTTTTCCGAAGGCCAATTGGTTTATACCAGTTTTCAATTTATTGCAATCAGTCAACCGATTGTTAGTTTAAAACTGGCTAATACCACCAAACAATAGAGGACAACTGAGCACAATTTCGAGAGCATTTTACGTCTCGAGTATAATTACGAAAATTTCTGAACTGAAGCGATTATTCCCTTAGAAACACATGACAAACCTGCTTAGTCTACCCCAATTGGTAACCTTTTGTCTTCTTTTGTTTAAAATCGTGGTCTTTGATCGTAATTTTTGTGATCAGCATTAGCCTTAAACTTGACTTTGGGAACGCAAAAATGTTTGTTGTATTTCTGGTTGGTATTACGTTTCTTAAAATTTCCATTATCATGACGAATTTCTAGTTTTTCTCCCTCGGCGAAAATTTTTCATAACGTAAACATTTCGAGGTCCACCATAGACAAATGCAGCTGGGCATGCGCTCTTTCCAAGCTTTACAGGTGCAAGTAAGTCCCAGCAGTTGTGACACGAGCTTTAATAAAACCGTTTTACCAATATACAGCTGTCAGTTTAAAAGTTATTTTGTCCTTGTTTAGGACTTCTTAAAAGGAGGCAAAGCCACACAAAACGTTCAGTTCTCCACAGAGAGCTAGCCTGTAACGAAGGTTTCGCTTATCGCGGAATAGTGGCCGTTCGAAGGAAGATATCTAATTAAAGGGAAAACTCAAGCGCGGTAAGTTTTGTTGTTTGTAGATCTAAGGCATTTTTAGCGGCAAGGTGTTGATATGATATTTGCCTGCAATCCCATGCAACAGCCACAGGCAACTTGAAGAAATAGGTTCTTTTTTAAAGTCTTTCCTTTTCTTTTTCATAGAGCAAAAATTGGTTGCCAGGCTTAGCATATTTTAGATGGGAATCAAACAATTTATTGGTAGGGTCAATATCTAAAACTCCGTGAAAACGTTTCGTTTTTGCTAGTGGTAAAACGTTAGGCCAGTAAGGGGCAACGCTTTTCTACAGACTAAATCAGGGAATAAATCATTGTGCGAGACCAATCAGCTCAATTCTTTTGGTGCCTTAGGCACATAACGCCATAAGGGCAAGATTTATAGGGAATAATTAAAGGCGCCGGCCTGCAGTCTTTGTCAGTGCTTGAAAAAAAGTATTCAATACCTCGGTCTGATCCATGGTCATAACTTCCAAGTTCCAATGAAAGGTAAGGCATCAAACAGTGCTTCTATATGCACATGTACAGAAGTTCGCGAATTTTCTTTAGGTTAAGTCCTCAAGAATCAAATCAAGAATTATCTCCATTTGTTTTTCCCACCCAAGTCCTGTTTTTATGTTGTAGTCAAGAAAGCTATGGAGGCGAAGCTTTGTTTGATCCTGATGTTGATTATTTTGGGGACCCTTACCGTACAAGGAGCAAACCCTAGAAAGGAGAGGAAGAGCGCCTGGGAAGTGTTTGCCAGGCAACCTGGTGAGTTTACCTTTGATCCCGAGTGATGAAGATAGGCTGTTTTTCTCCGAATTTATTTTTTTAACTGAGTAGTGGACATGGAAATTTAAATGAAATACAATTCTTAGTTTGTGGGTTAGATCGACTCCTTAATTAACGGCTAACAAACGAACAATCTTTTCTTGTTTACAGAATGCTTTGCCAATGGTGGACACTGTACTGCTGTTCTGCCCTGCTTTGCGATAGGTTTTCATTACTGCCCGCAATACTTCTGTCGGGATCCCCGTTCACCGTATTGCTGCTGCAATCACTGAAAAGGTATGAATTTAGGGAATATATCAAAATGCCAATGAAGTTTATATGATTTTAACCACGTCAGTAAATTACCCAAACGGAAATATGACGCCAAAACTTCGCTTGATAGAAGAAACTGTTTAAAATTCGGTGAACTGCACCGCTCAGTGATTTACGTACCGTCGCTGGGATGCTATGAGACCCAAAGCGAAGCATCCTCTTGAAATGAAGGGACATTTTGTTTTTAAAGATGATCCGTTACTATACCGATAATTGCTCGTTCACTCCGTTTGGCGTAATAATATACGTGTCCAACATTGTCGTGCGAAAGGGTACGAAAAATAAAGACCTGGCGGCTATTTTAAATAATGCAAATACTGATGCGAAAATAATGCCGAATTTTAAATAGCCTGGTGCTTATGTTCCCACACAAATTGTTTGTCATGTGTATTAAGGACGTTCGCGCTGATTGTTTCTACGCATCCTTACTGCGCACGCAAATTCACACGCCACGTCATCCATGAGCGCGCGCGCTAAGTAATAAAATGAAAACTGATAGGACAGATGGCCATTGCTATAGCTTTTTCTGGATTTAACGATCTTTTACGTTCAGTGACCCCTATTTTTCTTTTGATGGATCATTTTCTCTACCGATTTTCTACGTTTAGCGAAAAAATTAAGAAAATCTATCAATTAGAAGTTTGAATTTTTTGCAAAATGTATCATCGAATTCCGTTCTATTTTGCTCTTCGTTTATCTGTGCGACGGTTTCAAATGCTCTTGAAGGGTTAAGTTTTGTGAAAACGTTGGTAACATTTAGAATTATTTACGCAACAGACCCACTTCTACAAAATATGACTAAGATCGTTTGCCTCC